AAGGAAAAGCTTTCAGCTTCTCGCTGTTAATTATGATGTTGGCTGTTTGTTTGTCATATATGGCCTTTATTATGTTGAGGTACTTGCCCTCTATACCCATTTTGTTGAGAATTTTTATCATGAATGGATGTCGAATTTTGTCAAATGCTTTTTCAGCATCTATGGAGATGATCATGTGGTATTTGTCCTTCTTTTTGGTTGATATAGTGGATGATGATGATGAATTTTTGAATGTTGTACCATCCTTGCATCCCTGGGATGAATCCCACTTGATCATGATGGATGATCTTTTTGATGTATTTTTTAATTCAGTTTGCTAATATTTTGTTGAGTATTTTTGCATCTATGTTCATCAAGGATATTGGTCTGTAATTATCTTTTTTTGTGGTGTCTTTGCCTGGTTTTGGTATTAGAGTGATGCTGGCCTCATAGAATGAGTTTGGAAGTATTCCCTCTTCTACTCATTGGAAAACTTTAATGAGGATGGGTATTAGGTCTTCACTAAATGTTTGATAAAATTCAGCGGTGAAGCCATCTGTTCCAGGTGTTTTGTTCTTAGGTAGTTTTTTGATTACCAGTTCGATTTTGTTGCTGGTAATTGGTCCGTTCAGATTTTCTGTTTCTTCCTTGGTCAGCCTTGGAAGGTTGTATTTTTCTAGAAAGTTGTCCATTTCTTCTAGGTTATCTAGTTTGTTAGCATATAATTTTTCATAGTATTCTCTCATAATTCTTTGTATTTCTGTAGTGTCATCTTGATTTTTCCTTTCTCATTTCTGATTCTGTTTATGTCTGTAGACTCTCTTTTTTTCTTGATAAGTCTGGCTAGGGGTTTATCTATTTTGTTTAATTTCTTGAAGAGCCATCTCTTGCTTTCATTGATTCTTTCTATTGTTTTATTCTTCTTGATTTTATTTATTTCTGCTCTAATCTTTATTATGTCCCTCCTTCTCCTGACTTTGGGCCTCATTTGTTCTTCTTTAATTAGTTTCATTATTGTGAGTTTGGACTGCTTATATGGGATTGTTTTTCTTTACTGAGGTAGGCCTGTATTACAATATACTTCCCTCTTAGCATGGCTTTGGCTGCGTCCCACAGATTTTGTGGTGTTGAATTATTGTTGTCATTTGTCTCCATATATTGCTTGGTCTCTCTTTTTATGTGGTCATTGATTCATTAGTTATTTAGGTGCATGTTGTGATGCCTCCATGTGTTTGTGGGATTTTTTGTTTTCTTTGCATAATTTATTTCTAGTTTCATACCTTCGTGGTCTGTGAAACTGGATGGTACAATTTCAGTCTTTTTTTAATTTACTGAGGCTCCTTTTGTGGCCTTGTATATAATTTGTTCTTGAAAATGTCCCATGTGCACTTGAGAAGAATGTATATTCTGCTGCTTTTGGGTATAGAGTTCTGTAGATGTCTGTTAGGTCCATCTGTTCTAATGTGTTGTTCAGTGCCTCTGTGTCCTTACTTATTTTCTGTGTGGTTGATCTGTCCTTCAGAGTGAGTGAAGTGTTGAGTCTCCTATAATGAATGCATTGCATTCTGTTACCCCTTTTAATTCAGTTAGTATTTGTTTCACATATGTAGGTGCTCCTGTGTTGGGAGCATAGATATTTATAATGGTTATATCTTCTTGTTGGATTAACCCCTTTATCATTATGTAATGTCCTTCTTTGTCTTTTGTGACTTTGTTTTGAAATCTATTTTTTCTGATAGAAGTACTGCAACTCCTGCTTTTTTCTCCTTATTAGTTGCATTAAATATTTTTTTCCATTCTTTCACTTTTAGTCTGTGTATGTCTTTGGTTTAAAGTGAGTCTCTTGTAGACAGCATATAGAAGGGTCTTGTTTTTTTATGCATTTAGTGACTCTATGTCTTTTGATTGGTGCATTCAGTCGATTTTCATTTAGGGTGATTATTGATAGGTATGTACTTTTTGCCATTGCAGACTTTAGATTCGTTCTACCAAAGGTTCAGGGTTAAGTACCTTACTATCTAAGAGTCTAACTTTACTCACTTAATATGCTATTACAAACACAATCTAAAGGTTCTTTTCTTTTTCTCCTCCTTTTTCTTCCTCCTCCATTCTTTATATATTAGGTATCATATTCTGTACTCTTTGTCTATCCCTTGATTGACTTTGGGGATAGTTAATTTAATTTTGCTTTTGCTTTGTAACTAGCTGTTCTCCTTTCTTTACTGTAGTTTTATTACCTCTGTTGACAGCCATTAAACCTTAGGAACACTTCCATCAATAGCAGTCCCTCCAAAATAGACTGTAGAGATGATTTGTGGAAGGTAAATTCTTTCAGCTTTTGCTTATGTAGAAATTGTTTAATCCCTCCTTCAAATTTAAATGATAATCTTGCCAGAAAATGTACTCTTGGTTCCAGGCCCTTCTGCTTCATTGCATTAAATGTAGCATGCCACTTCCTTCTGACTTGTAAGGTTTCTGCTGAGAAGTCTGATGATAGCCTGATGGGCTTTCCTTTGTATGTCATCTTACTTCTCTCTCTGGCTGTTTTTAATAGTCTGTCCTTATCCTTGATCTTTGCCATTTTAATTACTATATGTCTTGGTGTTATCTTCCTTGGGTCCCTTGTGTTGGGAGATCTGTGGATCTCCATGGCCTGAGAGGGTATCTCCTTCCCTAGATTGGGGAAATTTTCAGCAATTACCCCCTCAAAGACATTTTCTATCCCTTTCTCTCTTCTTCTTCTGGTACCCATATAATGCGAATATTGTTCCATTTGGATTGGTCACACAGTTCTCTCAATATTCTTTCATTTCTAGAGATCCTTTTTTTTCTCTGTGCCTCAGCTTCCTTGTATTCCTCTTCTCTAGTTTCTATTTCATTTATCCTCAGCTCCACCATATCTAATCTGCTTTTAATACCCTCCACTGTGCTCTTCAACAATTGGATCTCCAACCGGAATTCATTCCTGAGTTCTTGAATATCTTTCCGTACCTCCATTAGCATGTTAATGATTTTCATTTTGAACTCCCTTTCAGGAAGAGTCGTGAGGCCCATGTCATCTTTTTCGGGGATTATATTAATTTTACTGTGAGCCAGGTTCCTTTGGCATTTCATATTTGTATATGGCGCCCTCTAGTGTCCGAAAGCTCTACTCTCTGGAGCTGCTCAGCCCCTGAAGCAATGTCAGGGGTCGCAGTTGAGTGGGATTGGTTCCTAGGTGGAGGAAAGAGCTGTTTTCTGCTTCCCGGCCGCTATGCCTGTCTCCACTGCCTGAACCAGCGGGCTGAGCACACAGGTATAAGCCTCTATGCTTTGTGTTTGTAGTTGCTGTAGACAGATCTTCCCTCTGGCTTGCCTAACGCCAGGGTAGGGTTTCCCGGTTTGCGAGCCAGGTGGAGCTGGCCTGGAAAAAGGCACAGTAGGCTGCCTATTACGGAGGGGGTCCTTGGAGCTGTATAGCCAGCCATGGAGCTGGAGCACCTGGAAATCGTGAAAGCTCCCAACCTGTTGGGCAAAGTGCACCCAGACAGTTTTTTCTACCGGTCCTTTCTCCTGAGCAGTAAGCTCAATCCTTGCCCCTTTAGCAGCCCTCTTACTTAGGGCTTCCTTGTTAGGAAGTCTCTCAGACCACCTGCCTTTTTTTTGTTCCAGAACATCCGGATATGGATCCCTGCTTTCCACAGTGACTGGAATCTCAGTCTCTCCAGGAATTCTGCCTGTCTTAGCTTTCCAATCCCCTAATCACGAGAGTATCATGAAAACACCATGAAATGTAGGTTTATGCTCCCAGAGCAGATCTCCAGAGCTAGGTATTCAGCAGTCCCAGGCCTCCACTCCCTCCCCGCTCTGTTTCTCTTCCTCCAGCCCATGAGCTGGGGTGGGGGAATGGTTTGGGTCCCACCGGGCCACAGCTTTTGTACGTTACCTTGTTCCATGAGGTCTGCTGTTTTCTCCAGGTGTATGCAGTCTGGCGCAGTCCTCTTTCCTGTTTCTCTTTCAGGATTAGTTGTATTAATTATATTTTCATATTATATGTGGTTTTAAAAGGAAGCCTCTGTCTCACCTCTCACACCGCCATCTTTAATCCTCTCCCTGCCATATGAGTTCTTTGTATATTTTGGATGTATATAATTGGATAAATCATTTATAAATATATTCTCCCATACTGTAGGTTGTCTTTTTGTTTAGTTGATGGTATCCTTTGCTGTACAGAAGATTTTTAGATTGATGTAGTCCCACTTGTTCATTTTTGCTTTTTTCCCCTTGCCTGGGGAGATGTGTCCAGAAAAAATTGCTCATACTTAAGTTCAAGAGATTTTTACCTGTTTTCTTCTGAGAGTTTTATGGTTTCATCTCTTATATTGAGGTCTTTAATCCATTCCAAGTTTACTTTTGTATATGGAGTTAGACAAGAATCCAGTTTCATTCTCTTGCATGTAGCTTTCTGTGTATCCCAACACCATTTATTGAAGAGACTATCTTTTCCTCATTGTATATTCATGGCTCCTTTATCATATATTAATTGACTATATTTGTGTGGGTTTATTTCTGGGCTTTATTCTATTCCATTGATCTATGTGTCTGTTCTTATACCATTACCATATTGTTTTGGTTATTGTAGCTTTATAGTGTAGCTTGAAGTCAGGGAGCTATGTTCTTCTTTGTCAAGATTGCTTTGACTCTTACTGTCTTTATGTATATCTGTCTTTCTTTTCTTACTCATCTTTAGGTATACCAGCAACATCTATAAATTACAATCTAGTTGTCAAATTTAAAGGGCTCCATACTTATAGGAAAACAGTTTTTTACCCTGTACTGGGTCTTTTATTCCTCTCTTCACTAGGAATTATCTATTTTTGATTACTCTCAAAGTGAACAGTGATAATAGTGAGGTTATAGTAAAATACAAATTTAAGTGAAATCTAGATACGTTTTTTTCCATTCTTTTTTATTGTGGTAAAATTCAGATTCATGTAATTTTGATTATCTTAATATCTATCTTTCTTTACTTTTTCTACTAGGTTGTGGGTAGTATGGATGCCCACCCAAGCAGATACTGTGCCACAGTAAGAGTTCAGAGACCCCGACAGGAAATCATCCAGGATTTAGCCTCCATGGTCCGAGAACTTCTCATTCAGTTTTATAAGTCAACTCGGTTCAAACCTACTCGTATCATCTTTTATCGGGATGGTGTTTCAGAGGGACAGTTTAGGCAGGTTGGTTGTTTGTTATCTCATCGTACTATGACTAAAGAAGATACTGTGTTTATAATATGGTGTCTAGTTCTGAAGTTAGAAGTCCTCAATTAAGTCGAGAGTCCCTAAAGTCAAAAGTTGATGCTTCCTTAGATTTTCCCTTTTAAAACATTTTCTATGGATATGTAGGCTTGCTTGCTAAATGATGCTCTGATAATAGTTAAGATGGAATAGAGTACATTCAGCTATTGAGTGATAAGATTAAGAAATTCTGAGACTAAATTATCTTACTTTGAAGTATGTATACGAGAACAGCTGACTATATCAGATCTTTCCATTTCATCTTATCTAGGTATTATATTATGAACTACTAGCAATTCGAGAAGCCTGCATCAGTTTGGAGAAAGACTATCAACCTGGAATAACCTACATTGTAGTTCAGAAGAGACATCACACTCGATTATTTTGTGCTGATAGGACAGAAAGGGTAATCTGCCATCTGTTGTAGTATTATAAACCAAGCTTATCTAAATAGTTCATAGAGCACTTAACACAGGCTCTCTGCCAACAGCAGAGTTTCTAATATAGAGTAGAAAATTTCAACAAAGCAGATTATGAGTTACAGAAGCATGAAAGTAGGTTGTTACTTTTTAACTTTCTAGAATTTCTAGTAACATTCCAAATGTTCAAAATCCCTTTAATGCTTTTTTTGTTCTTGTGGAGAAACTTATAGGTTTAAAATGATTCTTTTGTTAATATTTTCCTTATAGTTCAGAAAAAAAATTATATATTGTCTTTTTAAATATATTGTAAAAATTTTTTTTAAAAGCTAGGGACTTTCTAGAATGATTAGTGGAAATTCATATGAACTAACTTTTAAAATACTTCCTTTAAAATTCACAAAATTATTTTCTAGGTATTTTATAATGTGAATGTATGTTTTTATAATTAAGAGGGGAAAAAGGTATAATATCTAGGGAAATATGTCTTCTTGTCTGTGTGCAACATGGGCAAATAGCAAGCAGTCTTGTTATCATTTCCAGTGCTCTGCCCCCATCCTGAAAACCTTGGAGCAGAGAAATCTGAAGATTGTAAGTGTCAATATCCCCTTGGGAAAGGGGTTCAATAGAAAAGACTAAGAGAGGAGTGTGTCTTGTCTTTGGTATATATATATATTTGGTCGTTGTTATAATTACTGCATAACTTTGGGCAAGTAACTTAACATCTCTACCAGTTTCTTTCTCTGCAAGGTTTCAATAATACTTTATGTGGGTTGTTAAGAAGACTAAATAAATTAAAATATGTAATGCTCTTAGAGTGGTGCTTGGCACATACCAAAAACACTCAATAAAGGATAGCTAGGAGTATAGTGGTAGTGATAATGCTAATAATGAATGAAAAAGAAAGAATAGCAGACATTGTTCTAGGTATTTTTTATAAGTTTAACTCATTTAATCTTCACAAACATGCAATAAGTTACTTACTGTTATGATCCCCACTTTCCACAGGAGGAAACTGTGACACAGGGAGGTTAAATAACCTCCCAAGGTTACAAAGCTAGTAGTTGGTAGAACCCAGGACTCAAACTAGGCAACCTGGCTCCAGAGTGCTCTTAACCACTGTCCTACCACCTCTCTGATAGAAGTAGTGATAGTTTTTGTTATGGCCTCCAGGCTGTTACAGGCCTTTGACCCCAGATTACCAGGTATATATCGGTCCCTAGAAAACCAAAGGTTTCTTCAAAAGTAGTACTAGGAAAGCCCAAGTTAGGTTTATAATTACTAGCATCTGATGTTTACCCATGCCAATCCTTCATTTCTTTACTTCTTTTTCACCTTTGCTCTAAATACTACTATAAAAATAGATGAGAGATAATTATAAGTGAGGAAACAGAGGCAGAGAGGTAAATACCATGCCTAAAACCTGGTGGATCTGTGATATTGAACCCAGCATTCTGTTGCCTCTCTAAATACAGTGCAATTTTGTATATATATTAATTAGAATAGGCATAATTTAGTAGATTATGAACTGTTTTCTTTGTTTTGTGCTTAGCAAACTCTAGCTGCTTAGTTAGTCCACATAGCTGTAACTCAAGCCACTTCCTGACAGCAGTCCCTCACATGGCGGAAATAATGTCTGTGAGTCAGTAAACTAATTTCTGATTTGCTAGCCCGATAAACCTAGACTTACAGTTAATGATTTTAAATGTGTTAGGAATAAGGAGATGGAGGTGAGTAGAAATATGCATTTTAAAGTATCATATTAGGAGCCTTTGATTATCAGGAATTTTGAACCATTTCATTCATATCATATCTACTCAGAGAAAATTATGGTGTCTGTTCCCTCACATGATGTTGAAACTACTAGTATGAAATAAAAGGAATAGGGCCTTTGCAGTCATTTCCGTGTTTGACTTCCAGTTCTGCCCTTTACTGTATGCTATTGAGCTAATTATTTTATATGCCTGAGCCCTAGTTTCCCCTAAACAAATGGGAATAATACCTAACTTGCAGGATTACTAGGATTAGAATAATGTATGTAAAGTATCTGATGTATAAATGGTTAACAAATGGTGGCTATGGTTGATGTAGTTGACAGCGTCCTCTATCTCTAAAAATATCATGTTCTCCATGGAAAATGCTAATTTTCATAGATGACAAATTTAAGAGTACCTGCTGTGCACAGGTACCATAAATTTGGAGCACTTAAAGTAATTTAAAATTTATTTTAATTCTTCCCTCCATATTGTGATCAACTACCAGCTAAGCATCAGTAAAGACTAATCAGCTCTCACTTTCAGCAACATTTAAGAATAGGAACCAGGTCTAGAATAAGGTCCACTCATCATGCCTCCTTAAGCAGTATTTGAAACTGAACGCAATGAAACATGGAGTCAACTTATATATTTATACATTTTAAAAAGTGCTTTCAGATACCTACTTTATCTTTATCTTGTTTAAACTTTGACCAAACCTAGGTTGGAAGAAGTGGCAATATCCCAGCTGGAACCACAGTCGACACAGACATCACACACCCATACGAATTTGATTTTTACCTCTGTAGCCATGCTGGAATACAGGTGAGCCTATACTTTGGATAAAATGTTTTGATTCTGGAACTTCTGTTATGTATATTTTTTTAAATCTCAGAAAAAGGAGACAAAAATACGCTGCACTCCAAATTGTTTCCACATGAAATTAGATGAAACTTCCAGGAAATAAACTTCTTCCCCTTTCTTACCTTAAGAGGGGCTTATTTCCATGAGAATACCAGAATATTAATAGTTTAATAGATTGAATCTCCCTCAGCTGAGTCCTTAATTTAACCTGAAACCTCAAAAAATGTTTAAAATATCTGATTGCTCCTTTGACATGTTCCTTTATAAAAAAGGAAAAAAGTACTATAAAAGTACTTCATAGAAAACTTTGACATTTACTGCAGACATTGAGCATGTGAGTTTCATTATAGAATTACACCTTCGAATTTCAGTTAAACAACTTGAAGAGTGTTTTCATATTCCTTTAAGAAACTCTTTCTGTTGATTTGTTAGCTACACTTAGTAGACTATAAGTTTTAAATTAATTGCTTTTCAAACTTTGCAGCAGCAGAGACTGAGTCCACATTCCCAGAATGTCTGAAAGAAAGTAGCCCTGAACTATTTTAGATTATTTGTCATTGATTAAAATAGAAATTTCACATGTACCTTACTATACAGTGTATTTTAAAGTTTTGTATCTACCACATAGACTAACCCAGTTTTATTCTTACAACTTTAGAATTATTGTCTTTGTTTAGAATTATTTATCTTCGTTCTTATTTCTTCTCCTCTTTGTAATCAATGCTATACATTTTCCTGGTAGATGGTAACAGTTAACAAAACAGAGTTAAAAGTGTAGAGAATAAAATCTGTGTCACTAGGTTACATATTTTAACTTAGCATTTCCCTCCATGTATGCCAAAGAATGCTATTGCTGTGACTTTTAAATAACTATCACAGAGGAGAAAAAAAGATCCTCTGTTCAAATAAATCTTGGAAATGCTGGTTAAACAGATTTTTTAACTCTAGAATTTATGGATACCACTTCAGCAGAGTTTCTAATATAGAGTAGAAAATTTCAACAAAGCAGATTATGAGTTACAGAAGCATGAAAGTAGGTTGTTACTTTTTAACTTTCTAGAATTTCTAGTAACATTCCAAATGTTCAAAATCCCTTTAATGCTTTTTTTGTTCTTGTGGAGAAACTTATAGGTTTAAAATGATTCTTTTGTTAATATTTTCCTTATAGTTCAGAAAAAAAATTATATATTGTCTTTTTAAATATATTGTAAAAATTTTTTTTAAAAGCTAGGGACTTTCTAGAATGATTAGTGGAAATTCATATGAACTAACTTTTAAAATACTTCCTTTAAAATTCACAAAATTATTTTCTAGGTATTTTATAATGTGAATGTATTTTTTTATAATTAAGAGGGGAAAAAGGTATAATATCTAGGGAAATATGTCTTCTTGTCTGTGTGCAACATGGGCAAATAGCAAGCAGTCTTGTTATCATTTCCAGTGCTCTGCCCCCATCCTGAAAACCTTGGAGCAGAGAAATCTGAAGATTGTAAGTGTCAATATCCCCTTGGGAAAGGGGTTCAATAGAAAAGACTAAGAGAGGAGTGTGTCTTGTCTTTGGTATATATATATATTTGGTCGTTGTTATAATTACTGCATAACTTTGGGCAAGTAACTTAACATCTCTACCAGTTTCTTTCTCTGCAAGGTTTCGATAATACTTTATGTGGGTTGTTAAGAAGACTAAATAAATTAAAATATGTAATGCTCTTAGAGTGGTGCTTGGCACATACTAAAAACACTCAATAAAGGATAGCTAGGAGTATAGTGGTAGTGATAATGCTAATAATGAATGAAAAAGAAAGAATAGCAGACATTGTTCTAGGTATTTTTTATAAGTTTAACTCATTTAATCTTCACAAACATGCAATAAGTTACTTACTGTTATGATCCCCACTTTCCACAGGAGGAAACTGTGACACAGGGAGGTTAAATAACCTCCCAAGGTTACAAAGCTAGTAGTTGGTAGAACCCAGGACTCAAACTAGGCAACCTGGCTCCAGAGTGCTCTTAACCACTGTCCTACCACCTCTCTGATAGCAGTAGTGATAGTTTTTGTTATGGCCTCCAGGCTGTTACAGGCCTTTGACCCCAGATTACCAGGTATATATCGGTCCCTAGAAAACCAAAGGTTTCTTCAAAAGTAGTACTAGGAAAGCCCAAGTTAGGTTTATAATTACTAGCATCTG